TTTTTTTTTGTGAAAGCCCTTTCGCAAGTCCACTATCCTGGCAGCGGTAAGAGAACCGCCTGGATTGAGGTGTTGGGTACCAGGCTGCTCCATCTATTGGTGGGGAAATGGCTTCACGGATAAGTGAATTGGGGAAATGAAAACACCGCCATATTTTTTTGTCTTTTGTGCTTATGGGGAGAAGTGGAGCGAGGCGCGTATGCACCCTGGATGGACAGGATGAGGTTCAGGGCACACGAAACCAAAAACGCACTAGTGCGCCAATGAGCCTGGCTCAGGGCACGCTCGCACAAGGACCCAAAATCCCAAATCACCCAAAAAAAGGTGTAGTGAGGTTTTCACACTGGTTAGTCTCATTTTGCACGTTTGGAGTTGTAGTGAAAAAAATATGGCGGCGCATCTCCCCATTTTTTGTAGCGGAAGATTCAGTCTCATTTTGCACATTTGGAGCTGTAGTGGCACGAGCCCCTAAATCATACGTATGACACACGTCATGTCCACCACTGCAGTTCCACCGCTGCAGTTCGTTGTAAACTTGCCTGAATGTGCGAACAACTACTAGGCAATGCCAGCTTTGTGGTCACTCTAGGGAAGAGGACCTGCAGCCAGATGGGTGCATTGCGCCCTAACGTGTGATCATTCAATCATTGTCCGTTTTGTTTTCTTCTTTTTTTCACCTCTCTCTATCAGGCCCTCGTAAACCCTGGTAAGTACTTAAAAAGAAAAGAAAAAGAAAAGGAAAAAAAGCCCTGGAAGTTGTCTGGTTACCCCCTCTTCTTCTTTTTTTTTTGTTTTTAACCCCTCTTCGCTACACAGCACTCACGAAAACACAAGCTCATGAAAGGTGCTTGGGAAAAGCCAAACTGGGCCCCACCCGCTAGCTCAGTAGGTTTCATGCCTGAACGGCACCGCACAGGTGCTGGGTTCTATTCCTGTTGCCACCACTTTCAGTGGCCTGAGGAAGATTGGTGGCCACGGCCAGTCAACGCTGGTAGCTGGCTGGGGTGAGGTAGGAGTAGTGAAGCTCCCCACCAATAGATGAAGTAACCCCACGGGCAAGGCCTCAATCCTAGTAATTCTCATACCACCACTAGGATAGTGGGCTTGCAATGCATTTTGTTTCTCAAAAAAAAAAAGAAAAAAAGAGTAGTAGTGGTAGGTAGATTGTGAAAGGTGAAATTAGGAGAAGAATATAGCTTAGTTATGAAATAAAAAAAAGGTTGCGCCGCCCTGTAACCCCATGGCAATGAAGCAGCATCCGGCAGCAGCTGCTCAGGTCCTGCTGTGGCTGGTCGGGACACACGCAATAAAAAAGAGTTCTCAGGTTCAAGTCTCACTCAGAATCATCATAGCTGACTTTCACGGCTCAACCACTATGCCTATCAGGGGTGACACCCTTTTTTTTCTTCTTTTTTTTTTTTCAATCCAAGCACCCTCAATTTCACAATGCTTCAAAAGGCTTACACTCTCAACATACCTGTCATAACAGAAGCTCAATAACCAATAATCTACAATAACTTCCATAATAATCTCGAATTACCTGGGCCGGTCAGGCCCACTTGCAAGCTTTTAGAAGGAAGGCGCCATGGTAGGAGGGTGCAGACTAGGGTAGTAACTTCTTTTCTATAGCACCTATGGAACCTCTTTTCTAGCACCTGTCATTTTTTTCATTTCTCGCCGTGAATTCCGATTGGCTGTGTGGCGATGGAGTGTTGAGCACTACCAGGTTTTCGACAGTGGTGTGATGAGCCCTTTGTCCAATTTTGGAACCTCGTACAAGGGCCTCGCTCGCCACACCACTGTCGAAACCAAAAGAGAAAGAATGCATCTTCCACAGAAATTGGTAAGGTGCATCTGTGTCGAAACCAAAAGAGAAAGAATGCATCTTCCACAGAAATTGGTAAGGTGCATCCGTTGCTATTCCTACTAAGTTACTAACAGATGCATCTTGCCATTCTCTGAGGGTACAAGTTTAAGTATGAAGCAATATAAAAGATTCCAAATTTTATACCAGAATATTCAGTCTGATAACCTGCTACTAATTCTTTCCGTTTCAGCAGTGGTGTGGCAAGGCCTTAAGTCTTTTTTTTTTTTTTTTTTTTTTTTTTTTTTTTTTTTTTTTTTAACCCCTCTTGAAGGTGCTAAGCGGTTTTGGTAAGAGAAATCACCGTTAACACCCCAAGGAAGACTCCATCTATTGGTGGGGAGTATCACCTGTTGGAAAACGGGTCCAGCATCCCATTTAACAAAGTTTCTGAGATTTGTCTGAGAAGCATGAATAAGGGTCTGCCAGCATTGATTACCCTGATTCCCAGGGGATTGACTGAACAGACATAATGAGAAAAATGGGGAACGGGGCTGCCTCACCAATCCTGTCTTCCCAATCCAGTTTGGAATCCTCTGGGGGGCACCAGAGCATTCAACTACGGCTTCAGCGTCTTTTTTCTTTTGCTTAAAAAAAAAAAAAAAAAAAAAAAAAAAAGAAGTTAAAAAACACTACGCTATAATGTTCACTCAAATCTTTCATCATCTTTGAAATTCTTTCAATTCACCTTCACCACCTACCTACCAATACTTCAACCACCGCTTCAGCCTCTTCGACCTTACTCTTTTTTTTTTTAACCATTTGTTTGCTGGAAACCGGGTACAGCGTCCCTTATTAGATACAATGACGAAACCAACGCGAAGATTGAGGCAGCATAGAGGACCGTGAGAAACGTGTCCCTACCGGCATTGATTGCCCTGAATACCAGGGGCTTGACTGAGCAGGGCAGGGGGGAGACCGGGGGGAAAGCCACTGCCTTTGGAAATTGTTATTGTTTTGGAAGGCAAAATAAAAAGATCTTCTGTATGTAGAGGACAAGTACCACCAGTACATTGTTGAAAGCTGAAGGAAGCCAAGCAATACCAATCCACATGCCACGTGGCCGCAGCAAGAGGCGTCCAATGAAGCAATAGCAGTTCATCCTGTTTCTTTTGGATGTAAAAAATAAATAAATGGCAAGGGTTATATATTTTACATATGAACTACGCAATGCTCGAGCAGGTGAGTGGTTTAATCCTCCATCCCACATCTCTGCCTGCATTGTGCACGGACCTGGCCATTAACATGGCCATTGTACATACCTCTGACCACTCAGTCTGGGAACTGTGGGACAACGGCACCATGGTCCATGTCATGACTGATGTCACTGATTTCTTACATAATGATGCTGTTTTCTTGCCACAACAAATGGTCCGCAATCTCTTTTATGTCGAAGATCATTCCTCTGGCGCCGTGCTGCAGCAGGACAATGTACCAAAACTGTGTGACCGTCTCCTTTGCACAGCCACAGACAGTGTTACACTCGGCTGTAGCTGCCATCATCTCTGTCACAATCAGTACAATGACACGGTTTCTGCATCCATGTGTGTAGAGGATTGTCTCTCCGTTCCTGGCTGCAGGCACCCTCCGCATCCGGATGCTATATGTCCATTTTGTGGTCATGGGCGCTATATTGAATGCATGGTCTTTTGTGCTGAGTGTTCTTCCTCCATTTTGGCCTGCAATCGACATGCCATTTGTCGGGAGTGTATGGTGGGCATGCGCAATGCCAGCCGTCGTGGCAATTGTTGTGCTGATAATGCTCAGCTAGGTCTTCCATGTGTCCATCCACCTCATCCGTACAATGTGTGTCCTCTTCTCTCGTCAAGGACAGACT